ACTCACGTTATATATTTAAAAAGGTATTTAAAATATAATTTGTTTTACCTGCCAAACTGTTGATTATTTTTTTTTTAAATCAGAGTTTGGAAACTTCATAAACATTGATTCGTATTGTGATCATAAAAAAAAAAAGGTTTCGTAATATAAAGCCATACAACAGTTGCTAAATATCTTTCTATGAAAGTTCGTTGATCTACCTTTAAATGTGCATATTCTCAGGACACTATAATTAATTACAAATTTCAACTAGTTGATAATTAATTAAAAAAATAATAATCGAAGTTTAGAAGTAGGAATACTCTTGATATATAGTATGCAATAAAGAGAATTGTAATCTGTCCACAATGTATGACGTTAAACAACAATAGATATGAAGTCATAAGAATGCAAACTTCAAGAAGTTGAACTTAAGACTAAAGTTAGCATACATACATCTGCCACGCCCCTTTTTAGACAATTGAGCAACTTCACTCCTTATTCACAAATCGTTCACACACATCTTCACACGTTTTCTCGGTTAGTGAGATTATCGGTGCAGATCTGTAGCCCTTGTTTGAAGATCGACCACTGTGTCGAAAATCTCCCAGTAGCGTCATTTTACATTCCTGAAACAGGGTTAAGCAGCTGCTATACTCATGACTAACCATTTCCCTGTCATATGTTTCACTTCCAATGGTCCTGTCTTCTTTTTTTACCGTTTCCTTATCAAACAATTGTCTCAAATTTGGAGAATACTGAGACGAGTGAATAGGTGAATTCCCCGCAACGTCGGATTCTTTATTTATGTTACCTCCACTTGTAGATACACCAGAACTGTTTACCTTTTCTTCATAAGTGCACTCATTAAAATCTGGAGCTTGTGATCTTGTCTTCCCCAACAGCCAATAGGTACGCATTTCACCTTTTCCCTGTTCGAAGGAGCAACAGAATCAATATTAATTTGGCAGAAACAATAAACAACAGATACATCAGTACGCCACTTAAACAATTTTGAAAGGTTTATCCAACTTTGAAAGGTTTATCCAATTTTGAAAGGTTTATCCAACTTTGAAAGGTTTATCCAACTTTGAAAGGTTTATCCAACTTTGAAAGGTTTATCCAATTTTGAAAGGTTTATCAAACTTTGAAAGGTTTCCAATTTTGAAAGTTTATCCAACTTTGAAAAGTTTATCCAACTTTGAAAGGTTTATCCAATTTTGAAAGGTTTATCCAACTTTGAAAGGTTTATCCAATT